ATTGAGAATGAGATAGAAAAAAATTTTAGAGTCAACTCACGGGTTGCTAGACAGAGAAACCTACCAAGAGATGTGGTTATTTATTTTTCTAGAAGATTTATTCATAATGAAATTATACAGGCTTTTTATAAACAGAAGTTTCAAATTGCAGATCAAGACGTGATAATTTTAAAAGAAATACCTCCCAAAATTCTAAGAGGCAGAAAAGACTTTACTTTTCTGTCTGATGAGTTAAAACATCGTCAAATTCAGTTCAGATGGGAGATTCCAAGAGGAATAGTAGTGAATTATGATGGGACACGTCATAGATTAACTACAGTCTCAAAGGCAAGAGATTTTTATCATTCTATTTTAAAGGCAAGATCATTTTCACCTTCACAAACAAGGATAATTGAAGAGCCTGTTATGGCAGGAGCTTCTTCAATGATGGTTATGGAACAAGCTGTACAGAATCTTGAGATAAAAGATCAAAGGATGACACGAGCTGCCCACAAATATAAAGAAAAAGAGCAGCAGCAGAAGAGTGGTGATAAGGTAGAAGGAATGGTTACTACAGAGCCTGTGGGAGGGGCAAGACTTAAAAGATCATCAACAGTTGATCTACAGGCCATGCTCCAGAGGCTCCAAGCCGGTGGAGATGGCCAAGTTCTTGACCTGGAATGTTAATGGCTTAAATTCATCACAGAAACAGAGAAAGGTTTTTCATTATTTGAAACAACATAATAATGATTTGATATGTTTGCAAGAGACTCATATAACTTCAAAGGACTCAAAAATTTTGATAAACTCTCGTTTGGGATCACATTTTATGGCTCCAGCTCCAGGGAAAAAAGGGGGTGTTGTAATTTATGTGAAGAAAAAATTTTCACCTAAACTAATTGAGGCTGACCCTGAAGGAAGATATGTCTTTGTGGAATTACCAATACAAGGCAAGAAAGTTCTTATTGTTGGACTATATGCTCCTAATCAACAACAGAAGCAATTTTATAAGTTTTTGCATGGGAAGATATCTCAGTTGGATTACAAATCTGTAATTTTGATGGGTGATTGGAATGGAGTTTTAGACTCAACTATAGATAAAAAGAGTTCTAAAACTTTTACTCAAACTAAATTACCAAAAACTTTCTTTGATTTGAAAGAAGAGTTGGAGCTTATTGACATTTGGCGAGAAAGGAACATAAGTGATAGAGACTTCACTTTTTATTTGGATAGACATCAGTCATTTTCAAGGATTGACTTTTTTTTGATTACTAGTGATTTCTTTTCTAGGGTGAGGAAGATAAAAATCTTCCCCAGGACCTTGTCAGATCATAGTCCGGTGTGGATGGAGCTACATTTGGAAGATGGGAATAGAAGACCCTGGAGACTGAATGAAAATTTGTTTACTCGGGAAGAGTTTGTACAAAAATGTAAAGAGCATTTAAAGGAGTTTTTTGCTTTAAACATGAACAAGGGTACATCAATGCCCAGGGTTTGGGACACCAGTAAGGCGTATATGAGGGGAATCTTGATTCATTTAAATAAAGTTTCTAGGGATAAAAGGTTACAAAGACGTAGAGAAATAGAAGAAGAGATTAAATTAGAAGAAGAAGCGCTTGTTCGTAATCCAACTGATAATAACTTAAAGGTTTCAATAAAGATGCTTAGGGAACAATTTAATATGTTGATGGCAGATCAGGTGGCTACCAATCTGTCTTATATGAGACATAATACTTTTTGTAATGCAAATAAGCCTGGGAGGTGGTTGGCTTATCGAAAGAAACAGAAAGCTAGGATTATAGAGAAAGTAAAATATAAAGGTACTGAGGTTTTTCAGCAAAATTTGATTAAAAAGAGTTTTTTAGATTTTTATACAAAATTATATTCAAGTGACAATATAAAGGGATTGGATATAGATAAATATTTACAATCAGCACATTTTCCTAAACTTTCTGAGGAACAACAAAATGGGATGAATTGTTTAATTACTGTGGAGGAAATTGGTTTAGCTATTAAGCAGTTAAAGGTGGGAAAGTCTCCAGGAACAGATGGATTGACGTCGAGGTACTATAAGATTTTATCTGAAGAAATGATGGAGCCATTAAAGGAGCTTTTTAATAGTATTTTGTTGGGAGCACAAGTTCCTCCTTCTTGGAAAAGAGCTTTTATATCACTGATTCCGAAGGAGGATCAAGATCTCACAGAACCCAAGAATTATAGGCCAATATCATTGTTAAATGTTGATTGTAAGATTTTCACTAAAATTTTGGCAAATAGATTAATGCAGGTTATGAAGGATTTGATTCATAGTGATCAATCAGGATTTATAACAGGGCGATATATGAAATATAATGTAAGACAAATCATAAACTTAATTGAGTATTTGGATAAGAATAATCAGATTCCTGTGGCTTTTATATTTTTGGATGCTGAAAAAGCCTTTGATCAACTAGATTGGCAATTTTTATTTTCATTGGTAGAGAAAATGAATTTTGGGGATAAGTTTCTATATGCACTTAAAGCTATATATCAGCAACAATCTGCACAAATTGTTGTAAATGGGGGATTGACTGAGATTTTCAATATTGAAAAAGGGACAAGACAAGGATGCCCATTATCTCCATTGTTATTTGTTTTAACGTTGAAAATTTTGTTGATCCAGATTCGAGAATCAACGGTAGTCAAGGGTATAAAGATAAGAAAGAATGAGTATAAACTGCGGGCTTTTGCGGATGATTTGGTTTTAATTTTGGAACAACCGAATCAAACGATTGATTGCTTATTAGAACTTATAACACAGTATGGGAATGTTTCTGGTTTTAAAGTTGACAATTACAAGACTAAGATATTACCTAAGAATATGTCAGTTAAGGATAGGGAAAGTCTGGTTAAAGCTACAGGTTTTCAGATGGTAAAAAAGGTTAAATACTTGGGAGTATATTTAACTGCTTCAAATGGAAAATGTTCATAAAGAACAATTATGAACCATTATGGGCAAAAGTACAAAAGGATTTAAAGGATTGGAAAAAATTGCAATTGTCATTGTTGGGGAGAATTTCAGCTGTAAAAATGAATGTTCTACCAAAGTTTCTTTTCTTGTTCCAGATGAGACCTATTTTAAAAAAAGAGGGAAACTTGGAGGAATGGCAGAAGGGTATTAACAATTTTATTTGGGCTGGGAAAAAACCAAGGGTTAAGTTTAAAATTTTGCAAGATGCCCGAGAAAGAGGAGGACTTAAGGCACCTAATTTGAAATTATATTATGATGCAGCTGCTTTAACTTGGATAAGTTAATTTAACAAATAAGGATATTCTTTTTCTGGAAGGCTGGAATTTAATGTATGGTTGGCATGCATACTTAATTTTTAATAAGAAAGTCGACCGGATTTTTAAGTCACATATTCTGAGGAATGCCTTACTTCGTGTTTGGAAAAAGTATTATTATAGGCTAAATTATAAAATACCTATCTGGGGGATTCCCCAGACATGCAATTGAGGGAACCTCCAAGGGGATGAACTTTGATAGAATTTCGTATAAAGAATTATTAATTTGGTCAGGTTTGGATTGGCATTTAAAATCGCTAGATGTATTAAGGCAAGAAAATATTCTACAGTCATGGTTTCAATATTTACAAATAGTGGACAGGTGGACTGTAGATAAGAAAGAGGGAATAACATTAGAAGATAAACAATTGGTTATTCAGATTAAAAATCAGAGTCAGGCTCATATAAAAAGAATTTATAATGCTTTATTAGAGTTAGACTCGGAAACAGAATTGGTCAAAGACTGTATGATTAAATGGGCTCAGAATATACAGGAACCGATTTCTTTGGATTTATGGGAGACAATTTGGATTAGAAATGTCAAATTTACACAAGCTCAAAATTTGAGGGAAAATTTTTATAAAATGTTTTACAGATGGCACCTAGATCCTAAAAAATTATCTTGTATGTATTCTAATATACAGCCCAAATGTTGGAGATGTGGCAATAAGGATGCGACATATTTTCACATTTGGTGGAATTGCAAAAAGGTAAAGGCTTTTTGGATTATGATTTGGTGGAACATTCAAAAGATTTTTAGAAGGAAGATAAAGTTTACTCCTCAATTATTTTTATTGGGTATTTTTGTGGATCTAAATGACAAAGAAACTACTTTAATGTTGAATTTATTAACCGCGGCAAGGTTACTAGTAGGTTCATATTGGAAGAAAGATTCCTTGCCTACCTTAGAAGAATGGATATTTAAAGTTTCTAGTTTTGCAGAAATGGCAAAACTTTCTGCTTATTTGAAGGATCATACACAAGAAAGATATATTATTGTATGGAGAAGATGGATAGATTATATTCAGAAAAAGTATGGAACTATAAAGTTTCATTTACTTTACGAGTGAATTTTATAGTAAATGTTATAGAGATTTGTTTATGATGTTATTGGAGTTAAAGGTTAAGTATGATATTTTTTTCTCTCTCTTTTTTTTTCTTTTTCTCTTTTCTTTTTCTTTTTTATTGTCAACTTTGTCATTAATAACCCTGTATTCTGCTCTGGGAAGTGAGGGGAGGGGGGTTGGGGGTGGGTGGGTGGAAGAGTGGGTGGGTAAGGATCATATAGATATGGTAGTTTATAAGAAAGGTGCGGCCTGGGCATTTCCCCTATGCTGCGTTCATGTGTTTGAGAGGGATGAGAGGAGAAGAAGGTGTAGGGAGGAAGTAGGATGGTAAGAGGAGAAGGGGAGGGGAAGAGAATAGGAGGGGAGGAGAGAAAGAGGAGGGAAGTAGGGAAGGTTTTAGAGAGGGTGGACGCGGCCTGGGGGGAATGGGCAGGCGGTACCAATGGTTATGAATTTATTTTATTCCAAAATTGTATTTTGTATGATGTACAAATGGAAAAAAAAATAAAATAAAAACTTTTTCAAATAATAATAATAATAATTTTGAAGAAATTCTTTCCCTTATTGGGGAGATGGGCAGCATATTAATTAATAAAATAAACAAACAAACACACACACACACATACACACCTGGAGTGTCTGTCCAAATCGCTTCAAGGGAGTTGTTCGGACAGGAGGAATTAAGCTTGCTAATGATGTCACTCTAGAAAGAGGCTTGACCCGCTTGTTACTGGGCTCCTGTAAATTTTAGACAAATTAATTACATATAAGCATCATTATACAGGTGATTGTAATGATAATACAAAATAATATAAGAGGAATAGATAATGCAAGAGGAAAGCCACAAACAATGTTACCTAGCCAGTCAGCCCCCTCTCCCAGGGCTCTAACCTGTAAAGGAGGTGTTGTTGTTTTTTTGTAAGATAACGCTGACTTAAATCAGGTCATTAAACATGTTTATCCTAATATTGTGTTGGGGCTCAAACAATCACTCCATTCAGACCCTACTATCTAGATGATCTCATGTGACAATGAGAAGATAACAGGACTGAGCAGATTTGTTTGACGCTGATTTGTAATGGCCATTTTTGGAGGGGGGGCTCTGGAAGTCTCCTAAAATAATGCAAAGAAAGAATGTTATGCTCATGGGTACCTCTTGAATGCTATTAAAATATTGTGTATTACATTCTGATGCAGACATATTTACTATCGCCTTATGGCACTCTCTCCTCCCAACACATACACTAATACCCTCAGCATTTCATGATTAAATTGCTCTCTTCACCGTGTTCCTCGCGGTTATCTTCATCAAATAATTATGAGGTTTCTTTGTTTTTCCCTTTTAATTTATAAAGTAATATCTTTTGTGTTAGGGATAATTTTTTGAAGTCTGTATTTTTTTGGTTTCAGTGCAGTATACCTGATAATTCCCTTTCTTAAGCTGGCTCCTTGGATCATTGGTCATGGTACCTGGAATGATGGGAACTGTGGTCCAACACATGGAGGCAACATTAGGGATGGCTAAGCTATAGCAATACATTTCCTCAATAAAGATATTTTTTCTCAATAGACCCAGCTCTAGCAAACATGAAATGTTTGCAGTTCCAAGAGACTCTGTGTGTGTGTGTGTGTGTGTGTGTGTGTGTGTGTAGAGGACACATAACCCAACATGAGATATTTTCTTTGAAATGGGGCTTATTATTTAAAAAGTGTATGCAGAATTACATTTTGTTAAACAACTTTGTTCCAAAATTCAGTTCCCAAAACAATTTCTTATCTCTTTTAATAACATAAAAGATGCTGCTATGAATGTTTTGATGAGCTCATTCCTGAAGGGCATAGATAGTGTAAAAACAGAAATATTTAGCCTCAAATATTTCTCCCTGCTGATACTCAAATCGTTATACATTTCTCTATTCAATAAGTATCTTTTGAAAGAGACAAAAGTTAGAGCATTAAGATGACAATATCTGTAAAGAACATTTGCATATTTAACACTGTTCAACATCCAATCTTTATGTAAATACATTGAAAAATATAAGTATATTTATTATTTTTAAACACTTAATAAACATCTAGCATTGAGTAGGATACATAAATAATATATACTGTTTAAATCTGTGTCTGTCAAGATTTTCTGAAGAAATATTATTACTTCTGCATGCCAGAAAAATATAAACAAACTGGTAAATAATTTTTAAAGTTGATGATTACCCTTGCCTTCCTAATATCCATCCCGCACTGAAGGAATCTTGGGCAGCACGTGTAAAAGGCAAAATCTGAGAGAAAAAAACTCAAACTGTTCCGGATGATGTGGAAAAAAAATCCAAAAATATAAAAACAGAAAACCCCCAGGACTTTTAGAAGATATGAATTTAATAACTCATCAGAAATAATATTTTAATCAACATTTTAAACACAATCACCTCTCTTTTTCAGCCATAATTATGAAGTTTAGTTAAGCACCTTGTAATCCCAGGTTTGTAGGGAAAAAAAATTCCCAGGGAAAATAAGCCAGACCTTACTGTAATTTTCCATATGTTAGTAAATTCATTGTGGCAATTCTTCTTGTAAACAAAAACAAACAAACAAAAACCAGGACAGTGGCAGCTTCTTTAATTTTGGTCAGAAATACCATTTTCATCAGTGCAGATATGGACAGGAGAATCAAATGCAAAGCTAGGTATTTATTTCTCTATAGATGAAGCTGAAGTTTATCAATATCCCCTAAAGACAGGCACTAAAATGTGAAAAAGTCTCCCATATATCAAGACCCTATTCCGTTGTGGATGCTCTGCAAACAACAAAAGCCAGCTTGCCCTCATCTTAGCCAAGGTGGATTCAATTTCCTTTGTCTTCGGCAGCGATGGTTTAGCTCAGTCTTTTGGATGGTACATTTATTTTTACGCCACTGCAGCACCACCAGAATACTGAACACAGGAGGAAGTCTGTGAGTGGTCGTTCACTCATTCACTCTCGTTCTCCTCTAAATGGCCCTTCAAGCCCTCAGCGGCTTCTTGCTTAGCATGCCTCTGCTGCTGTGCGTGCCACTGCTCTCCCAGAGGGCAGAGAAAGGATTCTCGTCAGTCCCACTGCAGTCCCAGGCACCTACGTCCCAAATGCCATGGGGCAAAGCTACGCTGCAATCTCCTTTTTAGAAGGTGTGATATTCTTCAGAATATAATAACCAATATTCAAACTAGATCTAGTCACAGCTTGGTAGCAAAACTGTATTTCAGGTATTATCAAAAACTTGTTATTTCTACACTGTAATTCCAGGAAGTAAAACATAGAACTTCAAGATGTTTAGAAATTCCTTCTTGTTAATTATCAGATTTTTCTCTATGAACAATGACCTTCACAAAAATAAAACACTCTAGGCTCCAGATAATAAGAGGAAAACTCACTTGAGGCTGAAGATGCTGATTTATTACAACCTTTGAAATGTAAACAAAGTATCTTTGAAATTATGTGCTCATGAACAGCACCTTTGCAGTTAAGAAGCAAGAAGGTTAAATCAGTTTTCTGTCTAGATACAAAGTCCTTTCAAAGTATTCTATCAGGGGCTGTAGGTTAACAAAGGATGAGGCCACATTTCTGCCTTCCCTCTTTGTCAGAGATTATCTTCTCTTTTCCTCTATGCTTAGCTGGCTGCCAATGGAGAGAGACAGATCACTGATTACATGCTATCTCTAGTTTAAACTATCCAATCATATGAGCAAAGACCAATTGCTTTGGTCTTTTCTGCAGAATTAATACCCCCTGTCCTAGTACAAAATTAATTTTCAGCAGCCATATAATTTCCTTTGCTCTTTGACAATCCTCCCCGTTAGTATTCATTTAACACCATTTTGCATCTAAGCTGGAAAAATCTCTAAAAGGACATTCAAATCAAAGACAAAGTTCAGAGGTGGTATATATTTACATACAAGTTATATTTTCCTAAGCTTAGTAAAATGCCAGACTATGGAGAATACTGCAGAGCCAATCTACTATTGTAGTTAGATTGCTACCAGGGCTTACTGTGATAAGACAGTTGTTGAAAAAGTAGCATAATGCCAGGTCTTTCAAAGTGATACAGGACTGAGCTTCTTTGCTATCTTTCCAGCTATTTACCGGTAATAATTATTCATAAATCAGCATCTCACACACCACTGGAATAATCTCTGAAAACTAACTTATTAAATTTTATCCCATTCTTTAAGCTTGCATAGATCTTTTAAACCTTCTCTTTCTCTTCTAAAGAGTTAACCACTCTTTTTGACCACTTGCAAATGTTATTCTTTCCCTCAGTTCAGATCATTAACAAAAATGTTGAACAGAAGCCTTGTACAGCTTTGTAACATGTCATTTGATACTATTTACCAGGCTGATCTGGAACTACTTGTGTGTCATGCAACCAATAATGAATTCATTTAACAGCTGTATCCTAGCCTATGTGCTTATCATTTTATTAAAGGGGATATTATGAGAGTCTTTGACAAATCTTTTGCTGAGATCAAGGGATAGCACATCCACCACCACCACCCAATCTATTAAGCTGATACATCTGTCAAAAAAGTAGGTAAGATTAGTTAAACATGACATGTTTGCAACAAACCCATACTGGTTCTTGTCAATTTTGCATTAAAAAGCTCACAGGTATGCTTTTTAATAGTCTGCTTCAGGCTTTTGCCCAGAACAGTTGTCAAACTGTAATTTTCTAGGTCCTTCATCTTCTACTTTTGAAGATATAGATGCTTGCTTTCCTTGTTTTTCTAGGCCTTGCCAGTTTTTTCAAAACACTTTTTATTATTTTCCATTTTACACCAACACAACTTAAGAACCCACGTGAATACGCGGTGATCCATTTTTTGAAAATAAATAATAACATGGTAAATATATACCTATTATTTCTTTAAAATTTCCCTCTCTATCTATATAGAATATTATAATCGGATTAGTACATTTTCATTGAATTCATTCATTACTATGTCTAACCATCGTCTACATTAATAAAAAAAAAATCTTTAATCTATAAAAACCTATATTTCTTCTCACATTTAACTTAGGCTTAGTGAACTCCATTTATTTAAAGACATTATAATCAAGTCAATATCTAAAACCAATTCATTCACTAATATAACATTTCATCCAAATCATATACCAGTAATTAAAAATAGACTAACATTCTCTATCTATTTATATTGTTATAGACTCATTAAAACCTTTCTAAAACAAATTTTCATTGAATATATCACTCTATATAAATTTCATTAATCAATAAAAGTTTGCAAATTCATTATCCATCCCAAAGATCCTGTATCATGCTTTCTTAATTTTACAAATATTTAATCTTAAACTAACATATTCATTTACTATTCAGGTGCCCCAAATGTTTTTTTATTTAAGCATTATGAACTCCAAAAGTAAATTCTTCTCTTTCTCATCAATCTTCTATTGTTTTTCATTATTTCTCCAAATCTCCAATAATTAATTCCATCATTTCCCATATTTCAGTTCTTTTCTCATTATACCATCTCTAGTATCAAAACATATAAAGCCTTTTTAACAAAGTCCAAGTCCAAATCAATCCAGATCGCTATAAGGCCATTGCCACATTACTATAATCAGATTTAATATTTATATCTTATTCTGGGTTTCTTTCTAATCCAAACAGGTTTCTATAATCGGGCCTCCGCCTGCCACACTATACACTCCAAAAAAAAAGCTCCCATTGTGCATTTTGTTATGTTAAT